CTATAAAAAAGTCCGGAAACCTCTATTAGCTTAAGCTTTACTATACCTACGTCATTAAAACACAAATGAAGTCATAAAAATGTTCATATAATCCTTGTTTGATGTTAAAACTCAACTTCCCCCCTTTTTTGACACATTCCCATGTGTCAAATCAACGGAGCTAGAAAATTAAAAGAAAAGGTTAGTGACCTCGTATCTTAGAAAGTATGAGACTTTCTCCTATCCAGTGTCGTTGCTCCAGTCCTGTCATCCTGTGTTAGGGAATGAAATCATTTTAATTGTCATGTTAGATCTGTTCAACTCCTGGCTCTGCCCAGAGCCTGCGTCCGCAGAATTGCCAAGAAACAAAACCTGTAATAATATGAACTTCACTTCAATATGAACCTGTTGACTATTTCTGAGACAGCAAAGGAAGATTCTCTCCTCCTCGAGGACAGGCACTGACTCCCACTTATCTCCTGGAGCCAACTGTCCCTTATGGAGACACAACAATGCAGCCACAAGGTTTTGCAGATTGTTAAGTTGATCTGTGTGTAATGCTCGGAATCAGGTATGTAATATTAAATGAATGTTGTTTAATCAACTGCCACTACTTAAAACTTAGCAAAAGATATAACTGAATAAAAGAGCACAAAGAAAAGCATGATATCAGTGTTATGTAAGCGCGTGCGGCCTTCTATGCTCGAAGTCACTCCAGTCCATAGATCAGCCAAACATCGCGCTGACTGTAGCTTTTAACCCTCATTAACTTCAGCACAACTCTATAATGAGCAACAAACTGCAATATGTATAAAAGTGATCATAGTTACACCTGCAATGAAAGATTATATGATTATTCTAACACCTGTAAATAGAAGATTAACCTGAGGTTATAACAATCACTGTAAAACAAATGTTAATGTAATGTCAATAGCTTAAAAAATGTTTAATGCAATGCTTGTTATATGATTCTTATGTAATAATAATGCGGATGCTAAAATAACAGTAAAACACCCCCTTTTATCCCGTTTATAACCTTCACACATAAATGTTTATCCATGCCTCTTTTAATTTCACTTCCCCCTGTTTTCCCCTCACTGACCACAGCAGGGGAATCTATGTTTTGATTCAGCCATGAATGCAGCTCACCTGATTAATCACTGAGCCCCACCGTCACTGGCGTCTGACAGGGTGGCACTGCATACTCTTCCTTTAATGTCACTATTTTCAATCTGTTAATTAGAGTGCTTAAACATGAAGTAGACTACGTCCACAACAAGTCAATACAGCTGTAAATGTGGCCAATTATCAATCTATTACCAATCAATAATGAAAAATAGCTTTTATTTTATGCATGCTTTTAGTCAACCACTCACCCAGAGGGTTACCAATCCCAGAAAATTTCTTCTCCTCATTTAATGAGTCCGTCCTCCTTCCATGCCCTGGTAACTGGTTCATCCAGAGCTGTATCATCTTGAAACATATATGCAACAAGCCAAACCACACCTTGTTCACACCAACACTTTTCCGCCCTGAAGATGTCCATCGCCATCTTAGTCTGGACCAGGGTTTTAATAGTTTTGCAATTTTCATTAGTTTTATTTTTATTTAGTTTCGACTTCAGATTTTCAATTTCCTGTCAGTTGTAATTAGTTTTTACCAATTGTTTGCTAGTTTAGTTTAGTTTCTATTTTTTCTCCTGAAAATCCTTAGTTTCAGTTTAGTTTTGATTAGTTTCAGTTATAGCTTTAGTTGTGTTTGCAATAACTAAGTGTAATGAAATCCCCGTTCCATCATATCAGTCATGCTCTTCTGCTTATCCTTGGGTATTGAGACTATTAACTCTTGCAGCACCAGGATGGTCGTAATTTTGGTTCAAGTGAATTGATAAACTTTTTGAAGGCAATTGACTCACACAGTTATGCAGATGTCCCCGTCCTGTTGTCTCGGGATGCATCACGCTGTCTTGCCTGGGGTTAGCTTCTGTTTTCTGGGGAAGAGGGTTGAGTGTGCTCCCTTACCTTCTCAAGGTAAGCTAGGTTAGCCTTCTGGTGTGAGCTTTTCAAGTGCACTTTAAGATTTGTGGGAGTTTTTTCCCTTTAGAAATGCCCCTTTATCCAAAACACAGTCATATTCAAAGTAATCCCAAATTGGACTCTGGCGCTTTCTCCCGACTTTTCCTGACCTGAGTCTGCGCGTGGACGGAGCAGCAACCAGTGTCGCCAACTCCTCAATAAGGAAAATCGCTATTGGTTGTCCTAAAAGTCGCTAGAAGTCGCTAAATGACGTCATCGCCTAATTTGCATAATTGGTCATGCTAATCTCATTGTAACCTAAGTTGTTGGAGAGAGAAATAACATCGTGGAAGAGACATAAAGTGAGTAAAAAACGTCCTAAATGCATTTAGAGTCTATTTAGAACTATAAATTAAATTTCTTTTAGCAATTATTGTTTTTTTGACACAATTCCAACCCTGCTCCTTCACCTGGGCTTGGACCGGCAAAAGTGATCCGAAATAGGCACTCCTGTGGAGTTACTTTGTGTGTTTATAACTAATTTTAAACCTTGTGATCCACAAAACAGCATAAGAGTAAAACAGTAAAACAAGAACTGACTGCGTTACAGCATCCGCTGCTTGTTGAGAGTAAAAGTGATACACGCTTTCACGTCTTTTTTTTAGCTAAGGGGTCTGAAAACTCGCTAAATATAGCGACAAAGTTGCTAAGTTGGCAACACTGGCAGCAACACAGATGACACGACTAACGTACTGCCACCTTCTGGCATAATGAGACAGCAAGAAAAAATCTGGAAACTAAACTTCATCTTCACCCTTGACTATCGTATGACACACACACATCAATGAAAACGAAACACATTTTGCTATAAATTCAGTTAATTTTAGTTAGTTTTGTGAACACTCATTACAGTTTTAGTTAGTTTTCCTTTTTTGTTTTTATTTTTATTTCTGTTAACGAAAATGTTTTTTCACTTCTAGTTTTCGTTATTTCGTTAGTTTTTGTTAACGATAATAACCTTGGTCTGGACTGTCAATGGTGACTTTAATGCTGACTGTTCCGACAATCCATTTTATAACATTTCCTGGTCAGATTAGCCAATCTCTGTACACTGGAATAAACATAATCAACATGGTCAATATTTTTCCTGCGTGTTATTTCACCATCTTATCAATTCCAATGCTCCATCCTTATGTGGTTTGCGACATTATGTTTATCCACTCTGTCTCTAAATGTTTGAAGAATTTTTCAAGTTTGGGGTCAAATTTTGAGAATTTGACCATAAGTGAAAGTTATGGTGTTATCACCCCCTTCGGGGCTTACCTTTCCCAGTTTTGATGATATTCCTCCCTATTCTTTGCAAGTACCCCCTTTTGGTGGCGAGAAACTGTTGGTGTGGTCAAGTGGGTGCTGTAAAAACAAAAGCTCAGGACAGATCAGTCACCAGTCATGTACTCACACACAAAATTAGCATATATCGAATTTCATATTGATCCTCTGAGTGTAATGGTACGTTTTAATTTGAATTTCTCAAAGCTAAACACAATATTTTTCTTTATTTTGCTCTTGTTCTTGTGCAGCACCACCCCTCAGCACATGCCCCTGTCGGTTATATCTGTACTTTTCTGAATTATTGACTATTTCAATGAAGGGACCTAAAAGACGGGGACCAGTGTTTATTATTACATATCTCCATTTTGAGTGTGACAAGTCTATCATTCCCCTGTTATTCACAGACCTCAATAGAGGGTTTTTTGGCTTTTTTTTTTTCCTCTATAAAAGTTAATTGACTCTTTACAGTGGCCTGCTATGGTTAATAATAACACGTTCAGTCATGAGTGAAATCAAACCTTTTCTTCACTTTAGCATTTAACATTCCCAACAATATAATGTGATACATTAATTAAAACACAGCTACTAAAACACAATTTTCTTAATGCAAACATCAGTAACTCAAAATTAGCAACCAAAGGGTTAAGTCTGCATTTCACACTCATGTGAAGCTACAGCCTCCCCCTTTAGTCTCTGTCATCCTTCTGTTCCTGCAAAAACAAAACGAAGCAAAACAAAACATCCACCCTTCTTTTACAGGCTGGGTGAATTGTTTGTGGACATTTACTAATCCTAAAGTCGGTACCGTTTTTGTCTCAGTATCAAGTCAGTTAAAACTTTTAGTCGTCAGTCCATCACAGTCCAGTCACATGCATACATCCACACACATTCATACCAGATATTGCTGATAATGGAGTCTCACGCGCAGCCTATTCAAGGCTCCATCACCAGCAAGATGACGTCATCATTTTAAAGGAAAACAGTTCCTTGTGTTTTTTTTGGACTGGATTGACTCGCTGCAATCCTTTTAGGCTCAGGACTTCTCATGTGATCAATGTCCCATCTTTCTCCCAAGCCCATTATAATCATGGAGAAAAATACTTTGCGACTGTTTTCAGTAAGAATATTTTATAGCGCTTTAAAGTTCAATCTCTCAGGCCTGAGAGATTCACATTCTTTCTCTCACACAGCGCCTAAGCTACGGCCTCCTGCTGAGATGGGGCAGAAAACTCCAGTATATTCTGTTCTCTTCTAATCAGACAAATAAGGCGATGACTTTCTGCGAACAGTATTTCTTATAACTCAGCAGTATAATGCATCATAAAACAATATCATTCATTCACAATAAATCAGCAGTCTAATGCAATGCAAATCAGTTTAACAAATGCAATAGTTATCACCTTCTTCTAATTCAGGAGAATAATGCAAAATATTTCTAACATTTTGAGTTATTTTCCAGTGTTAGAAAATCAGCACTGCTCAGTGTTAGCCATTGTTAATCTTCAAAACTGACTAGGTTACTTTTAAACATATAACACTGTCAAAGTGTTAATTTAACACTCAACAGTGTTGTATTTAACACTCAGAGGTGTGCACCCATATAGACACTCTCCAGTGTTAATTTAACACTGGAGATTTTGCTGTGTAACATGAGTTTTGTGCGGTTCTGCTTAGGACTTGGAAGTTTACATCAGTGGTATCAAGGTGACTACAGTGTACAAGAATACAATACAAGATATCAGTGGATGCAGACACTTAGGTTGGTGAATCTCAGGCTCATTACTTTGACTCTGGGATGTTACAGGGAGTGCTGTGCCTTTCTGCTTGCTCTTGTTGGTTTTTAAACTAAAGTAAACCGTCCATCACTTCTCAGGTATTGCATATGAACCTGACACTGTGGTGAGCGCTGATCCAGAAACCTGCTCCAAACTCACCTGCTCTGAAACTGCAGTCCTTGAAACCATTGGCTGTGGTCCACTGGAGCGTTGTCAAGGAAACAACACGTGAATATAACCCCATTTATATTTAAAAGAAAGATCTGATGCATTAAGGGATTTTTTTTTAATGTAATTTAATTAATTTTTTTTATTTTGTGTATTTGGTCTCTTCCTCATCAGCGGCTTATGAGGTTAGTGGTTGATTGTTTTCTTCTTTGCTTCCATCAGCTGTGTAGTGGACACCACCTGTACTGTGACTGGCCCAACTGTCATCAACGTCCACGGCCAACTCAACTTCATCAAGGATCGGTGTGCTTACTCTCTGGTTTCTATTCCGTCAATCCCAAACCTGTACCTCGTGGCAAATTTCAGAGACCGCCGTCGTGAAGATGTGAGCTTATTGGACAGCGTGATACTGCGTCTAGATGGGCCAGGTGTTCATATTCACCTGGAACAAGGCGGGAGAGTTTGGGTAAGCTGCGTCAGGCAAGCTAAGGGTACATCTTTAACCATATTGCCATGTACATTGTTGCAGCCATTCCCCGATTCTCAATGGTGCTCATGGCAATTAACTAATGGTCATAACAATTCGGTCGATTGTTGGTCAGTGGTGCAAGTTTAGGTTATGCAAAGAAACTGCTGTGTTTCCTCTCATCGTTCTTCTCAGGGCTGTTAGAAGCAGTTCTTTCAGAGCTGTTGCTGTGAAATCAGCCTGTTTGTGTGTTTGACATGTTTCACTCAGTGTTTCCTCCACTTTATCTCTGCTGTGATGCAGCTGGACAACTCCATGTTGACCCTTGAAAGTTTGCCTCAGCTGGTTCATGGTGTGCAGCTCTCTCAGGACCAAACTGGAGTCACTGCCAAGCTGTCGCTCTCCAACCTCAACATTTCTGTCTTCTTTGACGGCTACACCGCACAGATCCTCTTAGAAGGTACAGAAGATAAAGTTTAATTCATGTAACGTAAACTGTAAACTGTGCTGTTATTTATTCTTCTGTGTTTGTCCAGTTTGAATATTGATGCTGATCTGACTCATTCTGTCCTGATCCTGTGCAGGACCTGCTGGTTCATCTGTGGAGGGTCTGTGTGGAAACTCCAGCAGGTCTCTGAGTGACCTGAGGCTCTCTGAGTACAGCTCCACCAGGTAAGACCTCATCACAAGCTCAGAGTCCCTCTGACTGCTGCTGCTGCTGTTGCAGATATTCTGTTTGTATAAAGGAGCCTGAACTTTGTTGTTTGTCGCCCCCTAGCTGTGAGATGCAGTACAGTGAGCCTGCTGACACCACGATCGACTGCACCAGTGTGACTGAACGGTGAGCAGACTGATCCACAAGGCAGGAAACATCTGTGTTGTACCTTGATCTCTGTGGTACATCACATGTAACTGCAGCACAGATAGAAAATAAACACAACTGATTACAGATTATCATTTTATTATCTTCAACTTCATCTTCTGTCTGTGGTACAGCTGTAATCTCCTGAAGGAGGCGCCCTTCTCCTCCTGTAACACTGACATTGACCCAGAGCCCTACATAACCGCCTGCACCGACACTTTGTGTAAATATCCTGCAGTGGATGGACTCAACTGTCAGTTCCTGAAGGCCTACGCCAGAGCCTGCAGTCTACACAACCACGCTCAGGATGGCTGGACATCAAAGACCGGCTGCTGTAAGACCTTAATAAGACATTAATAAGCTCTCCTTTGTTAAAGACCTGAACTGTGGATTTTTAGAGCTCCCATGTTTTCAGGATAATACATCAGTGTGTTCCTCTGTAGCCTCTGAGGCCTTCTGTCAGGACAGGACCTGCAGCGATCACGAGTTCTGTGGTGAGAAGACGGTCAGTGGTGACACTCGCTGCTTTTGTCGGGCCATTTTTTCCTCCAAGTACCAAGAAATCAACTCTTTGGGTACGACAGTTGTGACATCACCATGACAACAGGGCTGAATAATGGAGGAAAGCTTCTAATTGTGATTTTTCTGACTGATATTGTGACGTTCAGGTGATGCAACGGTCTGCATGCAGGACTCTGCTTCAGTCACTCTGGTCGGTTGTCTCGTGGAGGACAAACGCATCAATTACTCTGCTTTACAGCTCAACGACCCGACCTGCAGGGGTCAGGTGGACGAGCTCACCCACATGGTGACCTTCAGCTTCAACAGCAGCAACAGATGTGGGACGGTGGTCACGGTGGGTTTCATCTCCTGCTGTTTAAGCTTTGATCTCTGTGAATTCTAAAATTTTTGGTCATCTGAAGTTTATACCAGTCAGTCAACATCTTAAAGAGTATCAGATGTTAAAGATGAAACAATGAAGAACTTGCTTAGTATCTGATTATGTGACCCTGCAGACCAACAACAGCTACGTCATCTATAAGAACACCATCAGGAGCCAGAATTACTCTTTTGACGTCATCACTCGCAACCAGTGTTGGTCAAGTTACTTGAAAAAAGTAATCAGTAACTAATTACTGATTACTCCCCCCAAAAAGTAATCCCGTTACTTTACTGATTACTTATTTTCAAAAGTAATTAATTACTTAGTTACTTAGTTACTTAGTTACTTTTTAAAAACACGATTTACAACCTGAAGAGGTGATAAAGCGATAGATCTTTCAGCCCAATTCTACTTTTTCTACATAATCCATCATACAAAATGTAATCAAATGGAAAAGGCTCTTTTTTTTAACTTGTTTTATCAGTTTTAATCTTTTAACTTTATGCATCAAGAAAAAATTTAATTATATGCAGCATTCTCTGACTTGAATAAATTAGTTTAACATTTAAACCTATTTTCTACACATTCCAGCACATAAAATAAAATATTTTTTGTGTTTACACTCAGTCTTTCAAATAGATGCAAGTAAAACACAGCAGAAAATAAATAAAGTCAAAGACTCAGCGGTACTTTTGCTCTATTTTCACCTGTAAAGCAGGACTGGGGGTAGGCGGAGGTTTACCCTGGTGCAGGTGTGCTGCGGTCAGTTGAAGAATCCGCGAGTTTCTCTGTGAGTTTCCCATTACGTCGTTTCGCACTCGGTGCTTGCTTTTTTCGCTGTAAAAAGTTTTCTTCCCACGCCCAACGGACGCTAATGTTTTTGTCACTTTTTATGGAATCAAACTCAAAGTAAGGTCAGTACTTCCACACTTTAAACGCTGCACGCTCATACTCTCTCCCACAATCGATATATTATCCATTGTTGATCTGCACACAGCTGTTGTCACCAACGGCGCACTTGCTTACGTCACTGTCATGAGACATTCTCGCAAAAAAATCACGGTTTTAGTAACGCAGTAACGCAGCGTTCCTACGGGAAAGTAACGGTAATCTAATTACCGATTTTGCAATAGTAATCCCTTACTTTACTCGTTACTTGGAAAAAGTAATCAGATTACAGTAACGCGTTACAAGTAACGCGTTACTGCCCCTCTCTGCTCGCAACAACCAAGTCCAGATCGACTTCTCCTGTGTTCACAGTCAGCCGAACATCCACACTGCAACCTTCAGAATCAGAGACTGGTTTGTAGTGGCTGCTAGGTATTGTTTGAATATTTGTTAAAATGTGGGCATTGTTAACAGTGCAAATGTGTGCATTCTGCAGCTCCGTTGCACAGAAGATCTCATGTGGAGCTTGGAATTACACTCTGATTATCAAGGCCTACACCGACGCTGGGCGGACACAAGTTGTGCAGCTAAACAGTCAAGTGAGACTGAACCAGAGGATCTGGGTAGAGCTGGAGACTAATGGGCTGGATGGAAGCATGGTCACTGTGGTGAGCGACTCCTGCTGGGCAACCAACCAGGCATCACCTACCAGCAGTCCAAGACATGATCTGATCATTAACGGTGAGAGATACTCAGAGTCACTCATAAGTTCACTTTGATCACCTTTATCAGCTCCTCAATAATGTGTATTTTCGTGGTTATGAAAAGCTGTGCGAACCCTGCTGACCTGACAGTGGCAGTGGAGCAAAACGGACTGGGAACCTCCACCTTGTTTTCGTTCAACATGTTCCGGTTCACTGGGGGTTCTGGTGAAGTCTACCTGCACTGCAAACTCCACCTGTGTCCCAAAGAGGAGACCAGCTGCATACCGGTAGGCCTCACTGTCAAACACTCATAGCAAGCTTTACCTATTCATCCCACCTGTTACAGGAGGGCTTGATTTGTTATGCACAAACCTAACCATCTATTCATTGTTCCAAAGCACACCATTAACATATATGGTCATATATAATCATTTTGGTGCTTTAAGTAAAGCAGGTGCATGTGTTACGTTCTAACTAAACACCTGTTTATTACTAGATTATATTGTTCTGTACATTTTTATCCTCATTTAACTACACTCACAGCACAACACTGAAAACATGAAGTGAATTCAGTTGTATTTTGTTTGAACATCCAGAATTGTAATGCAGCAGCTCGCAGACGCAGATCTGTTGGATCCAAATACGAAGGTGAAGCCTCCATCGGCATGTCCTGGACTCATTAGGTAACTTCAGGTGACAAATCTAATGAGTGGTGTAAGAAGTAAGATTGGCTGCGAACAGAATCACGAGAGGGCAAGAGTGGTTTCCATGATGACCACGACTGAATGACCAGTTGCCGACCAAATGCTGAACATTGTTTTTGAGGACAGTGTTCAGCAGACACACAGAGAAACACTACTTCACTCCATCTTCTTTATTCAATTTTATTTATATAGTGCCAATTCACACCAAAAGTTGCTTTGAGGCACTATATATTGTAGAGGCCCTACAATTATCTTTATTGTTGTACTTTCTGCCAAAAAAAAATAAAGAATGTGGCAACAACCAGCCTGAGTTTGATTCTTGTTTTCTGGCTCAAACACCATTCAGGTAGAAATCCAGTAATTATCCAGCTGACGATTTCTCCTTTTACGCAACCTAATGGATTCAAAAGCATACAGTGTATCACGGTCCTGGGTGATTTGACCAAATGTTTTTAAGTTTTTGGACTTTCGTTTTATTTATGTAAATATTCTATTTGACTCTTGGTTTACTTGTTTATGTGGTTTCCTGCATTTTCCTTGTGCCTTGATTTTAGCTACCCTTTCATTGGCTCATCCTTCAATTTAGTTTACCTGTGTCTCGTTATCCCCGGCTTTCTCCACTTCCCCTTCTCCGTGTACATATAGTGCTGTATTGGACTTTGAAGTCTGTTCATCTCATCTCTGTGTTTCTGCAAGCTTTACGTTTCAGTTGTTTATAGCTTCCCCCCCTTGAGCACACAGTTTTTGATGAAAACAGAGAGGTGTGACCATCAGTGTTGGTCAAGTTACTTGAAAAAAGTAATCAGTAACTAATTACTGATTACTCCCCCAAAAAAGTAATCCCGTTACTTTACTGATTACTTATTTTCAAAAGTAATTAATTACTTAGTTACTTAGTTACTTTTTAAAAACACGATTTACAACCTGAAGAGGTGATAAAGCTTTCAGCCCAATTCTACTTTTTCTGCATAATCCATCATACAAAATGTAATCAAATGGAAAAGTCTCTTTTTTTTAACTTGTTTTATCATTTTTAATCTTTTAACTTTATGCATCAAGCAAAACTTTAATTATATGCAACATTCTCTGACTTGAATAAATTAGTTTAACATTTAAACCTATTTTCTACACATTCTAGCACATAAAATAAAATATTTTTTGTGTTTACACTCACTCTTTCAAATAGATGCAAGTAAAACACAGCAGAAAATAAATAAAGTCAAAGACTCAGCGGTCCTGTTGCTCTATTTTCACCTGTAAAGCAGGACTGGGGGTAGGCGGAGGTTTACCCTGGTGCAGGTGAGCCGCAGCGGTCAGTTGAAGAATCCGCGAGTTTCTCTGTGAGTTTCCCATTACGTCGTTGCGCACTCGGTGCTTGTTTGGAAGTTTAGGGGGTTTTTTTCGCTGTAAAAAGTTTTCTTCCCACGCACAACGGACACTAATGTTTTTGTCACTTTTTATGGAATCAAACACAATATAAGGTCAGTACTTCCACGCTTTAAACGCTGCACGCTCATACTCTCTCCCACAATCGATATATGATCCATTGTTGATCTGCACACAGCTGTTGTCACTAGCGGCGCACTCGCTTACGTCACTGTCGTGAGACATTCTCGCAAAAAAATCACGGTTTTAGTAACGCAGT